CCAGCCCTTGGGTTCATATTACCCTAGGTGATGGCAGCACACTCCAGACCAAATTGTTGGTAGTTGAAGATTCTTATTTGCCAGGGGTCTTGCATATCTACACCTTATCCTAGATTCTAGGGCCTCCAGTTCTAGATCTAAGCTATAGTTTAAATTAATTTTAGGCAAAGCTTTTGGTTATAAGGACAAGTACCCATTCAAGCCAACTCAAGTTAAGATGGTCTTGTTGTAAATCTTGTATAGGAAGCAATCTCATGGGCCATCTTTGATCATGAAATAGAAGGTACCCGGACTTCACAGGGACAGAAACCAAAGTGTCAGGAATTGAGGCTGTTCCTTCCCTCTCGTTCATCTCCTGGCATCTCTCATTTTTCTTCCTGTCTCTCTTTCTGCTCACCACCTTCCCCCTTTACACGGCAGCCATTTCTAACCTTACATCAGGACTGTTCAGCTCTAGTGCCTGCCCTTTATTGAAACTTCCTTTACTCCCTATTTCAAACATCAAGAGACTCTGGCTGAGTTTAACCTATGGCTGGCACCTCTTGGGTCAGATGTCCAGCTTTGGCTCTGTTGGCTGACACTGAGGTGACATACTATAGGGCTACACTTCTAGGGGCTATGTGTGAGACAGGTCTGATAAAAAGTTTCCTGCTACAGATGGGCTTACCAACAGTTAGGACTAGAGATAACTTTAGGAGGGGCAGAGAAAAACTCCTGAAGCAGTTTGATTTACGAAGAAGTTTTAAGAGTTAGCAGGCTCTTGTCTCCATGCAGATTGGTGCAGATGGTCACAACTCAGGAGTACGGCAGGCTGCTGGGATCCAGAATGTTAGCTGGAACTATGACCAGTCTGCTGTTGTGGCTACACTGCATTTATCAGAGGTAAGGTCCTGCGCTGTCGTCCGGTGACTCCACTCCTAAGCACTGAGTACTTCTCACAAAAACTTCTCCTCTTTATTGCAGGCCACGGAAAACAATGTAGCTTGGCAGAGATTTCTTCCCTCGGGGCCTATTGCTCTGCTTCCGGTAAGAGGTCCTCTGGCTGGTCTGCTCAAGTGCACCCAGCCTTCCTCTTTTAGGACTTCACTTTCTCTCAGCCTTTTTCTAGTTTCAAGGGAGTATGTCCAGGCTAGCTTTGTTTCCTCTTCTTGTCTTCCTTTTTATGCTTGAGAGCTCCCAAGTAAAGAAGAGTTTTAGCCCTTGGTATCAATGTTCTTCTTTTGGCACAGCTCTCAGACACCTTGAGTTCCTTGGTTTGGTCCACATCCCATGAACATGCAGCAGAACTGGTTAGCATGGATGAGGAAAAATTTGTAGATGCCATTAACTCTGCCTTTGTAAGTATCAACTTATCCAGCTGATGATGTGTTGCAGAGGTAGATACAGAAAGGTGGTTTTGAGTAAGGAAAAAGGACCAACCAGTCACCTGCCCCTTTTTAGCTATAATGCTTGATATGGATTGTGTGGAGGAGAGCATACAGGGACATGCATAACAATAGAAATAATAATGTGTGTGTTTTGAGGGCTGCTGTTATGCTGACTGAAACCACTGCCTGGGTTGTGGTTAGCATTGGCCTTTTCTGAAAGTATCATACTTTCATAATTTGGATAATACTTTGATAATAGATCCCAACTATCTGAACCTTTGAACCTGATTCATTGGAAATGTTCCAGGGAGGGGATGAGCACATTGCAGCACAGAGCTTACGAGGGAGCTTTGTAGACAGACATGGGCTCAGTACTGGTTTTACCTGTTAATTTCCTAAAAAATGGAAATAGTATTACCAACTTCTCAGGATTGAATAAAAGACTTTAAAAATGAGAGAATTTATGTAAAATACATGGAACATATTACCTAGTCCATTGAAGGTGCTCAACAATTGGTAATAATTATTCACAGCCTTTAGATCATATGGGCACCAGTATTTTTGGAGCCTAATGCCACATTTATCTAAATTCACTAAATTCATTAATAACTGATAACATTTATTGAGTGCTTACTATGTGCCAGGTATAGGTTAGAGTTTTACATGTATTTATTCATTTAATTCAGTAAATTTTTGAGGTAGGTACTGTTGTTATCTTCATTATAAGACAGAGATGAGGAACTTGCGTAAGGTCATAGAGCTAGTGGCAAAGCTGGCTTCTGAAATCAAGCTGGCCTTCAGAGCCTGTGCTTTTAACCACCGAACCCTCCTACCTCACTAATGACCTCACACTGAAGATGGAAATCCATGCTCTGTAGTAGCAACAAGAACAAAAGGAACTGAATATACTGAAGTGGATTCCAGGGTAAATGGTGAATGCTACCCCTCTGGGTCATTTAGTATATATTCCTGGCACAGGTCTAGGACCTTTGTAACATTCATTCAACAACAATTACAAGTGCCTCCTCCATGGCAGGCTCTGGAGATTCTGAGACAAATGAGACAGTCCCTGCTTTCAGGAAGCTCATAGTCAAGTGAGGGAGAAAGACACACAAATGACAATCTCAGTACAGTGATAGAAGTATGCATAGGATGCTGTGGGGCATACAGGAGGAAAACACACACTGAGAAGGGTGGGAGGGTTACAAAGAGGTGCCATCTTCTGCATGCCCTGAGGTGTTATCCTGGTGAAATAGAGGTGGGAGGATGTTCTAAGTAGAGGGGAGTCCTAGAGGCAAGAGGATATTGTATGATAAGCTATGCTGTGGCTGGCACATGGTTACTGATCACAGGGACTAGTGAAAAGTGAAGCTTGGAGGTCGGCGAGGTAGGCAGGGGCCTGCTTATGAGTAGTTTGGCTTGATCCTAAAACCTGTGGGAGTCATGGGAAGATGAGATTTGCATTTGTTTGAGGGGCTTGTTACTTGTAGTCTTGATCAGTTTAGGCGAGTTAGGTAGCATTACTGTTAGCTTTGGTTACAAAAGGGTTGAATTTTTAATTCCCTGCTAGTCACTGATCAAATTTCACCTTGTCTTATGGCTGATGCTGCTCAGTGGAATGATGCTAATCACACAGACTTCATCGACTCAGCTGGCACCATGTTGCAATATGCTATCTCCCTTCTGAAGCCCACTAAGGTCTCAGCTCGCCAGCTACCTCCAAGCGTAGCCAGCGTGGAGGCCAAAAGCCGAGTACTGTTTCCTCTTGGGTTGGGACATGCTGCTGAGTACGTCCGGCCTCGGGTGGCGCTCATTGGGTAAGATAATAACAGAGCAGGGCCACTCCCTTCTCACTGTGCTGCTAGAGGTCACACCTGAACTCTGCTTTATTCTTAGGGACGCAGCCCACAGAGTCCATCCACTTGCAGGACAAGGTGTCAACATGGGCTTTGGGGATATCTCCAGCTTGGTCCATCACCTTAGTACTGCAGCCTTCAATGGGAGAGACTTAGGTAAGGATTCAGGTACCTTAGAAGTATCCAGAGGTCATATAGTTAGGGAAAATCAGGGCCCCAAAATAGTCCACAGTAGCAAGATGGGGTACACATAAAATGTGTCTGGTTTGTTAGGAGAGGGAAAGAGACTTTATTTTTGGATTAGGAGTTTAACCTTTCCTCTGTTCTCCAGGCTCCATGAACCACCTCACAGGTTATGAAACAGACAGACAACGTCACAATACTGCTCTTCTGGCTGCTACAGACTTACTAAAAAGGCTGTACTCCACCAACGCTACTCCGCTTGTGCTGCTCAGGACATGGGGCTTGCAGGCCACAAATGCAGTGTCTCCACTCAAAGTAAGAGGTCACTCATGGCTCTCCAAGCTTCTTGCTCATGGAGGAATGACTTTGCAAACAGCTCTTAATTTCTTTGGATTAATTTTCTTGGCTATGAAATTATCATCTTTCTACTTTTCCAGTGCTTATGAGCAAAAAGGTACTTGCTAGGCTTGTTGGTATTAAGGTCCACATCTAAGCAATAATTTTTGTGTATAGGGAGGGCTTAAAAATGGTGAGTAGAGACTTGTAAAGATAAAGATGTTTAAGTTCTTTTTGCTGCTTGGCTAGCTTCTTCCCTGAGAAACTTCCATTTAAAGATACTTTTTCTTTTTTTAGCTGAAATAAAGCAGGGACTCTTGGGAGGAGTACCTATATGGGACTTTGTCTAAGTTTTTGCTTTAATCACTTTGGATATTTTATTTTCTTCACCTGCTGTCACACCTTACAGTTTTTTTTTTTTTTGAGACAGAGTCTCACTGTGTTGCCCCAGCTAGAATGCTGTGGTGTCAGCCTAACTCACAGCAACCTCAAACTCCTGGGCTCAAGCGATCCTCCTGCCTCAGCCTCCTGAGTTGCTGGGACTACAGGCATGCGCCACCATGCCCAGCTAATTTTTCCTATATATTTTTAGTTGTCCAGCTAATTTCTTTCTATGTTTTTTAGTAGAGACAGCGTCTTGCTCTTGCTCAGGCTGGTCTCAAACTCCTGAGCTGAAACGATCTGCCCACCTCTACTTGCCAGAGTGCTAGGATTATAGGCATGAGCCACTGCGCCCGCCCATACCTTACAGTGTTAAAGTGTCACTCAACTTTGTTTTATTTTTCTCCAGGAACAGATTATGGCCTTTGCAAGCAAATGAGTGCTCCTCTTCTAGAGATTATGTTGATGAAAAAAAGAACATCCTTCCCTACGACCATCTCACACATTTTCAAGATTTAATTTAATAAATTTACCTTGCATTAGAGAATTCCCATCTCTTTTTCTTCTCTGCTTAATGGACCTGTGGAGCCCAAATAATGAGTGATAATTTGCAGTGAGGAAAGGTGTATTAGCCAAGCCAAGGGAAAAAAAACCTTAAAGGAAGACTATTATGATTTGGTTGAAAAGAAAATTTTATTACTAAAACAAAAATCATTGAGGTGCTGTCTCAGTCATTTTCACTTGTTAACAATTCTTTCTAAAGAGAACATTTATACAGTTTTTTTTTAATGCTCGTCATAAATTTATACAATTGTTTTTGATAGAAGAAAGAATTAGAAATACTCAGTGCATTTTTGTTAGAATTGCTTTTTTAAAATTAACATCAGAATGCAAATTAAATATAAACTGCTTTAACCTTTGTTATAGCTGCACTGGACTTTCTGAAAAGAAAACCAAATTTTATTAATGTGAGTTATTCTTCATCACAGCACCAGATTTCACCTTTATTTGTGGTTCCTCTCTGGGACACCATTGTCTGTTTAATAAAATAATAAATAATTTCATTGCACAGGTTTGAAGACCTCAGGAACCAGGTCAAAAGGGAAAAACTATGATTAGCAGCAGAATTTGTTCATGTTTGGTGGCAGACTGGTAGCCGACTGGAGGGAGTGGTATTTTGCTGTGGGTTTTTAAAGAGCTCACTTCATAGTACCAGAGGTGCCTCTTGAAGAGATTTGCAGGTCTGTTAGATTTGCTCACTGTAAAGAACATCTTACCCAGACATCTGATTTGAAGATAAAATGAGAAGAAATAGTCTGCTTTTGAACCAAGTAAACTATTCTTGAGAATAATTTTTAAAGGCATGGGAAATCTGTTACTTTAGGGGAGCTTTTCAGGCAAATGGAGAAAATTTATAAGATACTAGAGTAAAAAAGTGACAATGTCACAACCTTCCTGGAATCTCAGGAAAAATGTGCCCAGAATAAAAGATGGCAGCTGCTGTGAAAAGCTGTGTGATTACTAGCAGAGACTGTAGGGACAAGGTCATCATTCATAAAAAAACAGAAAAGTGGAATAGGTGCGGAGAACACAGACTCTCCAAAAGTGTGCAAACAGAATCAGGCAAGATGAAGAATTTTAAGGCACACCTTGCAAGGACCTCCATGATCCCCAGAGGATGTTCTTCATATGACAATGATGATGATAACAAACATAACATCCACCATGTACCAGGCCATGCCCTAAGTATTTTAAATATATTAACACATTTACAGAGTGGAAACTAACCAACAGTATTAGAATCTATAGGACCCTTAATAAGAGGCCCAAAGGGTACACTGGGGTCAAAATGGACATTATAGACAATTTTTTTTAAAGAAACAAAAATTCTCATTCCAAATTGTTGTTCTTAAAATGGACAAACTGATTAATTCTCCAGATGTTCTCATCAAGATTAACAAAATATATTTAGATAAATTTCTGGAGTTAGATTGCCTTTATCCAAGAGTTCTGAAGGTATTTGGGATGACCAAAAGAGCCTGCTGAATAATGTGTGTTACTTTACAAAGTGGACCCTGTTGATAAGAAGTTTCAGAGACAACGTGCAGTGGTAAAGACCAGAGAATCTTACGTCTCTGGACTTGTCAAGCTGGAAGAGTCTTCAGTGAACACAGCTTACCTCTTGGGGAAACAACTTGGTTTCTACTGGAGGAAAATAGTCTGTCCCTATACATGGGACAACATGTAATGTACTGTGACTGGTCTAGCACCCTTTTTTGGACAAAGATGGTAAGGGGTCTAGACATCTGTCACATGTTAAAGAAGAGACCATAAAGAACTTGGGAGGGGCTTTCTTGAAAATATTGAAAGGCTCTGGAAGGAGCATCAGAGCAGAACTAAAACCATTGAGAAGATAGGTAGATTTCAGCTCAATCTAAGGAGGAACTTTTTTTAACATCAGTGTAGTCCCGAATGGAATGAGCTATCTGAAAACATGCCTAAGCAGATGCTGAATGATGATAACCTGTTAGAAAAGTTGAAGGAATTCTGCACTGGGTAGAAGATAAGATTATATTTTTGGGCTATTTCTAATTCTAAAGATTCTATTATTTCATTTTATATTAGCATTTATTGAGGAAGGCAATAGGTATAAAGGTGAGTTTAGTAATAAAAGTGTGAAAAGTCTTAAGAAATTCCACACTGAATTAAAAAACAAAATCTGGGGGATAAGGATACAGAAATTTGCTTAGTTTCTTGCACAGAGCAGATGTTAAATATTTATTGATGCAGTGGAGGTTCCTCAGGAACTGGTGTGAGGGCCAGGTGCATTTAATATTGTTTGTGAGAAAGCAGAATGAAAGGGAGTCCGCTGTTTGGGGGAGATACTCTTCTGGAAAGAAGCTGGAGGTAAAGGAGGAGCCAGACCACAGGAAGATCTTCCAAGTCCAAGGGCACTAGAGTAGGTGGACAAGAATCAGATGACTGCTATGTGGGAAAGTACAAGATAATGAATTTGGGGGGAAATAATTAAGTTCTGAGCCTTCAGACTCAAAAAGAGAACTTTAGAGTCATTAAACATGGTTCTCTCTGGAGATGCTGGCCCACTGTACTGATGTGGACCAAAAGAGCCACCGAATCAAATGTGGGATATTGTCGGGAGGAGAGTTGGAAACCCTGGCACTAAACACATAAATCAGGATATTAGCTAAACTGATCAGAGGCCAGGGCAGAAGATACTGCTATAAACAGACAGCATAAAAGGGTAATCTGAAAGGGGCTATGACCAAAATTGGTAGATCCTAGGATAGCACAGACACTTCTTCACCACAGACCGCAAGCTAGGGTATAGTTGCTATAGTTCTATTCTTAGAAATACAAAGAAAACAAGTTTAGGATCATGGAAAATACTATAAACACATTAGCCTAGGAGGTGGTACTGGCACTGAATACACACATAAGATAGATACGTTCATTAATCCCAGAGTTGACTGATAAAAAGTTGATTACAGAAGGTAGGCTACATGAGGCAGCCACACCCTCCCATGACATGTCTCTAGACACTGGATGGCCTCCTTTCTTAAGGCTGTGATCTATGCACAGTTAGGAGCTACTCTCCATCCTATTACCATTTAGGATGGCTCTCCACTGGCTGATTGGAGCTAGCACAGAACAGGATCACAAATTCTGATATGATACCATTTTTTTTTTTTTTGGAATTATACATGGAAAGCAAAACCAGGTATTTTTTTTTCCTCTTTTTGGGAGAGGTTTGTGCAGATAAGGGTAGGCAGTGTATAGGGAGGAAAAAAATACTGGTACTGCTAGGTCATGGGATTGCAATAAATCAGCTTAATTTAGCATGTAAGAGGAAAACTAAAATGTTTAAGGTATGAGGCACTCAAAGGGTTGAAATGAGATTTTTCTTTGGTTCCCAGGGACCTGTCCCTGGGCTCTCCAAGGTTGAGTTCCAAAGCTATACTTTCTGGTTCACGGGGCTCTCTCTGACACACAAGGAATCTCAAAAGATTTAGACTCTTCTGGTGCCAGCTGTGCATGCTGAGTGGTTAGGCAGCAGTTCACATTAAATGTGTAAAACTAATTAAACTCAAATTTCTAGGCTCAAGGGCAAGATCCATCTACAAAAGCCCCTTTTCTCCTGATAAAGCTAGCTGCTGGGCTTCAGTCCAGGTTGTCCCCCAGACTAGCTCAGAAAATGACTCTCCTTCTCCCTTTAAAAGGTTGTTGGTGAATGCAGGCCTCAGAGGAAGTGCGTGTCCTCAGTGGGAAATGCCCAGAGACTGCAACAGGTGAAAGGTGGCCCCCAAGGCCCAGCCTGTTTCTATGTTGTTCACTTTCTTTGTGAGCTGTTGAGGAGGAGAAAAAAAGTCTTCACATTTTCATCCAATTTTCAACTCCAACAAGCATGGCACTTGGCAGATCATGTTGGCAAACAGCATCCACATGGCCACACCAAGGCAAAAACTGGGAGGAGCCAGTCTTGGGAGGCTTCCCACTTACTACTCGCTATAACAATTTCCCTGCAGCCATGGCCCATTGCCTCTGCACCCACCATTCTGATCCCTGGGTGTTTCTGACCCAGGAAGTGGTCCACTAGGCCTTCGAGAGATCTTCTAGACAGATAGGATTCTGAACTCTTTCCTTAGTCCTGAAACTAAACAGCATCCCCACCTTTATTTTCTGAATCACCCATTTATGATAAGGCAACTTGTAATGGTAATAGATGTGGTAGAAAGGGCATGATCAAGAATTGGGAATAGATTTAGAGGTAGGAAAGAACAAACCAAGCTTCTCAATTCATACTGTGTAAGCAACTGCCTCTTATTAAGCACTAATAATAACCAACCAGGGCATTTAAGACATTCTGGGCCAGGTTGTGCCTCAGTTAGCTCAGTGACCTTTGGCAAAGCTTTACATCCAATTTCCTCAACTATATAACAAGAGGATTAGTGTTTATCAAATTGTTTTCTTCAGAATCCTAGGGTTTTTTGGAAATGCTTCACAGGAAAAAAAGAGGTCAAAGGTAAAGGTGTTACAGGCTCCAACCTCTGCCTCAACCAGAATAGCTTGACTTGATCAGTTTCATATTATTGACGTCCTGTAGTAAGCTTTTGTTGAATAAAGATGCCACCACCACCACCAAAAAGGAAAAGTTCGTAAAAGTTTGTAAACCAGTGGATAGTTCTGTGTTAACCTGATGAAACTGAATCACTGTGCCCAAAACTGGGGAGAATGGCATTTAAATCATTATCTTGAGGAAAAAAATGATTATCTTCAGGTTCAGTCTGAGACACCTGAGTCAAATTGGAAGTGCCCATACCGAAATGCTCTTCCTGTGTCCTCAGGACTTGGCTGGAAGCCTGGGGATACAGATGCCAAAATGAAGCTATCTCTGGAACAGGGAACTGTCCACTCCTGATTTACATTCTGCCCCCACTGAAAATAGCAGGAAAATTGTCCTTAAATGACTTGGTTATTGTTGATGCTCAGGTAGAAGCAGCTGTTAAATTAGCATGTATTGAGATGCTAAGGATGATCTCTTACCCACAAATTATCCCCAACTGATAGGAAATCCATCCATTAATAGTAATACAAATTTTAATGACTTACTATGCACCAGGCATTGTGCTTTCTATGCATTATCTTAATTTTCATAACAGCCCTATGAAATAGGTACTGTAAGGATCCTTGTGTTTCAAATGAGGAACCTAAAAGGGGAAGTCAATCTCCATCTAAGGCCACAGAGCTAGTAAGCATGCAAGTCAGAACTTGAACACAGATCTGATGGACAACAGAGCCCAAGTTTTATTTTATTTTATTTATTTTATTATTATTTTTTTGAGACAGAGTCTCACTCTATTGCCCGGGCTAGAGTGCCGTGGCATCAGCCTAGCTCACAGCAACCTCAAACTCCTGAGCTCAAACGATCTGCTGGCCTCGGCCTCCCAGAGTGCTAGGATTACAGGCATGAGCCACCACGCCCGGCCAGAGCCAAAGTTTTAAACACTACACCATACTAACTCTTGCTTCTTGCCCTGAGTTCTAAATTGATTTAATAAACCATGTGACTTGGGCATGTTAAGTTGAGCTGCAAGATTTCTGTTGTGTGACCTGTTCTGTGACCTCTGGAATAGCTTGACTGGGCCAGGTTGTGCCCAGGCAAGCAGTAATGTACTCGGAGGCTACCATTGCATCAGTGTAATTTCCCACATTCATGGTGTCTAGCACAGTGCCTTGTCCACAGCCCAATCAGAAATACCTCATAATTCCACCTATAGCTACTCTGATTACTAAACAAATTCTTGACTCCCTCCCAACCCCCACAAAAGAAGACTGTTAAGGGACTCTGGTGTTCCATCTCTTACCTGTAAGACGGTACTGTCTGCAAAGCCAAAGCCATCCTTTAACAGGGCTGTGATGTAGGCTAGGTCCATGCACAGAAAAGGACTGCCAGAGGTGAAGTTTTCCAAGTTATCACACACTGAAAGTGAGAGAGAGTGAACAGTGGAGTTCAGGTTTGCAACTAATTGAGACATGTAGGATTTTCCCTAAATATAGACAGGTAGAATAAGCAAAGCAGAAATCTTCATTTGGTTAACTCCTGGGCCTTGTAGAGAGTAGACTGCACTGATTGCCTCTGCAAGACCATAGCTTCTTAAGAGTTTGCACATTTCTGGTGTGATATTTATCTACTCAAATTTACATGGGTCCTAGTTTATTTGCTAAGTTTCTATGACCTATTGCGGAGGCTTAGTTCTAAGTCCCTTACACCTGTTATTAATGCTGAGGCCCAGAAGACAGGGCAATACCATTTAGCTCTACTGTGGGCCACTGGATAAGATCATTTGTATTTTAGATTGACTCTCTCAAGGAAGCCTCTGTGGCTTTTTCCCATGTATTTTGATGCTCAGTGTTTCATTAACACTGATAACACTATTTCAGTTTAAAAAAAATGGAAAAATGTAGAAAGAAGACAAAGTTTTCACCATTTCCCCAAAGCCTCTTGTATTCCCATATTCTTGCCCAGGATTCTATGCCACCTAATGCTTACAAAAATTTTTTTGGAGACAGGGTCTGGTTATGTTGCCCAGGCTGGAGTGCAGTGGCTATTCACAGGTGCAATCATAGCTCACTGCAGCCTCAAACTCCGGGCCTCAAGCATTCGTCCTGCCTCAGCCTCCTGAGTAGCTGAGACCACAGGTGCGTACCACTGTGCCTGGCTAGCACCTGATGCTTTTAACTCCTAGCAAGGCTGGAAGACCCAGAAAGGAAACCAGCCTTCTGACAGGCTGTCTGAGCTGACTGAGGTGCTTTAAGTCACCAGAGTCGGCAGCCACAGCCTCAAAGGGTTGTCTTCAAGGACTTCCCCTGACACTCACCTTCTTTGGCCTTTCTTTCAAAATCTTCAACTTTTAAAACACCCCCCTTTTCATAATCTGAAATGAAACAGAACAGTAGCTGATATCCAAAAGCCTTCAAGGAAACAAAGAAATTCATCCTAGTGATGTTTATAATAATGCAAAATGGGAAAATTTCAACATTAGAGAATGGGATAAACAAACATGACATAGCCATACAATATAATCTATGCAGCCTATTTTATTTATTTACAATCAATTTCATCTTATGTATATTTAGCTACAGTGAAAAAAAAAATAGATCCATTAAACACATAAATAGGAAATTCATATCTCTCAGGCCATGACAGATCATGTACTTAACTCTCACAGTGACACAAAAGCATTATTTTGCATTAAGAAATGAAGTTATTATAAAGGGGCAGGAAGAAACTTTTGGGGGTGATGGATATGTTCATTATCTTAAATGTGGTTACGGTTTCATGGGTGTACATACATGACAAAACTTAGAAAACTGCACACTTTAAACATGTACACTTACTGTATGCCAATAATGCCTCAATAAAGATGTTTTTAAAAAGATGTCATGTATAGTTCTTGAAGTTATCTACCTCCAAAAGATTCTAAGTCATAGTCACCCTTCCACTCAAGTGACTAGTGCCACTCAACCAGCACTGGAGAAGAGTCGGGTAATCACCCCAACAAAGCATTTCAAGTGCTCCTTCTCCTTGACCTTCCCCACCACAGCCCTGCCCACTTTCTTCTCTGGACTGACACCTGAGATGAACTCACCAATCATGTCCGTGTCAACGGCTCGATCATAATAGTAAGAGAAAGCATAGAAGGAGCTTCTCTGGACCTCTTTTGGCTGGTGAAGTTTTCCTTGTACCACCCTCAGGACTTCGGCGTAGCAGGGCTCAAAGCCCATCTCCCCTGCCAGGGCAAAGGTACACAGGGGAAAGGTGAGGACAGTGACAGGGGAAGAGGCCACTCTCTGGGGCAAGCTGCTGGAGACACGGAGGGAAAAGCAGGAGGCTAAAGGAAAGCAGGAAGGAGAAGGCTGAGGCTTAGGACGAAGGGCTTAAAAACAAAGATGAGCAAACTTCTGCAGCCTCGCTGCTCTGTTTCTCCATGGCAGCTTCCCTGCCTAACCTGTGTTCACCAAAACAGCTACAGCCAACCTCACACTGCTGCCGAGCATTACATTTCATGTTATTTACAAACAAGTATGTAGAGGGCTCACCCGGTTCCTTCACTAGGCAATCAAGTTTTTTCCTTGATATTAAGGTCTATGCCTTTTATAATACCTAAGATGAATCATTCTTCTTATCATCTCAATTTTAAGTGTTACGATAATTTAAATAACTAAGCATTAACTGAACAGGTTTTCACACTGCTGCATTAGACCTCGGCTAAGAAAAGTTTTCTTTTTTATTTGTGGCTATTCACAGTCTCAATCATCATGCACTACAGCCTCTAACTCCTGGCCTCAAGGGATCCTCCCACCTCAGCCTCCCAAGTAGCTGGGACGACAAACACACACCGACCCAGCTAAGAATAGGTTTCTAGTGGATCCATGACACTTGGCCAGGAAAGAGAACACGATGTAGAATGGCAATTGCCCCATTTGTCATCACTTCCCATTAGTCCTTGGAGGCATACCCAGATTCTTTGGAACAAGTCCCTATAACCTGATAAGCTTCTCTTGAGCTCTAGAAAAAGTTTCCCATGGGACTTTACTAGAATTTCTACTGTACAGATAATTTTAACCAGTGAAAAAACATCACTTGCCTTCTTGGTTGCCACCATACTGGTATTTCACACCTCCAAAGATCCACTCTGCTTCTAACCATCTCGGTAGACAGGCACTTCGGAAAGTGTGTCCATCAGTCCCTGAAAGAAACCAGGGCAGAAAGTAAAAGGCAAGTATGTGAGAGAGAAGGGGGAACGCAAACAAGAAGCCCTAAGGCTGAAAGGAATCACCAAGGGGGCTGGGCTTTAAAATCTGATGAAATTAGTTCCATGACTACATCCTGCGACAGGAATTCTTAACTGAGGCTAAATAAGCTTTGTGGGGTTGGTGAATCCTTCCAAAACCAGAAGCAAATTTTCATGCACGTGCACATTTGTCAGAGGGGTGCATGGCTTTCATTGCATCTCAAAAAAAATCCAAAACCCACAATAGAGTAAGTTCCCTCCTTCCTAAAAACAGGAAAAAATACCTTCCTCACTGGTTGCTGAGAGGCTTAAAGGAAATACATATGAAGATGTTTTGTGAACTCTGAAATGCAATATGGTCATCATCCTGATAATAGTTTACTGTCAGCCAAGCACTGTACAAAGTGCATTAAATGCAAAATCTCATTTAATGTGAGGAAAAGAGCAGAGAAAGGTTAACTAACCTGTCCCAAATCGCAACATTGAGACTCAACCCAGTTCTGCCTGATCCCAACTGTGAAGAGATCTACGGAGTTGCTCAGTTATTCCAGCTTACAAGTACAACAGACCCTGCTTCCTGCACCTCCCATGTAAAGCTAAGGGCTTGAACAAGCTCCTGCCAGATGCACTCTTTGAGCCCTGAATTTCTGCAGATGCTTCAGCCCCCTGGCCACAGACTGTTCCCCCTATATAGGGAGACCTCATTCTAAAAATGGCTCATAATATATACCAAAACTTCTGAATTCATAAAATAGAGAAGGAATTTGCTATTATTAGTCCATCATACAATATGTTTCCCAATTCAACATGAGCCTTTTCTCCACAGAATCACTTCCAAGGAAAGGAAGAGGCAAGCTGAGTACTTGTGTCACTCTCACCATCACCCACCCGGCAGATACCCAGACAAACCTTCTGTCTCCAGGGCTCCCAGAGTTGCTAGTCTTGCAGCTTTCAATCCAAATCCCAAGTAACTGTAAAATACAGGATTGACCCATTTCATGCTAGCTCTTTCAAAAGTAACATGGTTTCCATTTCTCTCTGGAGAGATGAAAACCTTATTCTGTTTCTGTGACCTATTCAACTCATGTGGTCAACAAGAATAATTTCTGCCCAGTTTGGATCAAGGCCATGCAGTGAGAATTCTCCACAGCTATGATTGAAAAGTCAGAAACAGTGACAATTCCTAGGGTCCCACACTAGGAACCATCCCCAGAAAAGGACTCATTAGTTTAGCTCCTAGCCCCAAATGGGATCACATTCCCGGATGGATGTTGAATACCTCAAGGCCAGCTCAGAGGAGTTGGTATGGAGCTTTGGCTGAGCCTTCTCCCAGTGTCCTCTTCCTAGAGAAAACTTTTGACTCTTAAGTTACATACCTTTGAGGCCAAGAATGAAGAAGCCTCTTAGGTCCCTAGGGCTTTGGTAAGTGGCTTGGGTTTCAGTTGATAGGCGTTAGGGAATTGGCAAAGACTTTGTAAGGCTGACCAGATGTGATAACAGATTTGAGAATGCTCTGAAAAGTTGGGAGAATCATACAATGTGAAATATTATTCTTCCCTGTCCCCTCCTTACCTGTGTGTGTAGAGCTTATAAGTGCTGTTAAACATCTCAAAGGAAGTGAGGTAGCCCCTAGGCGTTTGTTCCAGGGTTCTCTGCGAATCAGAAAAAGCAAAACACTATTCAGGATCTGTAATTATTTGACGATGTTATCACCACCATCCCTGTCCCTCCCCCAAAAAATCAGAGATGGAGATAGACTAAGCTGCTAATTTCATAAGGTTTGAGGAATCAAAGGAACTCTGAACAGTGAGAGGGCAAGGGGGAGTCCACCGAGTCATTACTTCACTCTACTCAGCCTACCTGTGGTGAAGCTGCTGTCTGAAAATGGGGTGCCACTTTCGTAGCACCATGATATGCCTGCCAAGGGCATTGCTAACCAGACCTTCACGTAAATGACTCACCTCAAACTGGGGCAGGAACGTGATTTGGGTGGAGGCCCCCCCCAGGTCCAGGGTCCCCACGGTCTCCTGGCTGTGGCCATGCAGCTGACCTGTCAATGAGAGTCAGCTCTAAATATCCTCCACATGCTGGACAGCCCAACACTCATCTGTCTGCAATGTCTCTCCTGCTCTTGTTGTACACTGAAGGTGTTCCACAAATACTCCACTGCTCTCCAGACCCAAAGGCTGCAGGTGAACATCAACTCAGAAGGACTCTTGCTGTAGCTGAGGCCTTGAAGGCCAGTTGTAAACATTAACTTCCTGTCTTTCCTTTCCTTTTTTTAAAGAAAGAAAAATACAGAAAAAAAGAAAGGAATTTTACTCTTCTGACCATGTATGTAAAAGCCAGTTAAGATCTTAAGATAAACTTACCTGTCAGAAAATTCACAGTAACCCAAGCTAATATGCCTAAAAAGAGAGAACGACAAGCATGACATTCCAGAGCACTTTTTTTCTCTTTCCTGGCCCCATATTTGTTCTTTTTCTTTCTTAATTTCATGTCTAGAGCACACATTTCCCTTCTCCCTGTCCTTCGATGTCCTCCTGTCCCATCCTCCAGCTTGTTTGTTTCTCCATACTTAGTTCCTTTCTCTTCAGTGCCCATCCCTGTTCCCAGTTCTGTTAGTAGTTAGATCTTTCACTGACACTGCTCGTCTACCCCTGGAACATATAACAACACCTCTCCCACCTTCATAGGATCCATCCATGATGCTAACACTCTCCTCTGGTACCAGGAAAGGTGACTTCCTGAAGATCTCCTTTACCTAGAGAAAAAGGGAAAAATGTGGATTCCCTAAGGCAGTAAAATGGATTTCCATATTTTGACTGTGTCCTATAAAGCTTATAAAACTATAAAATTTTAGCAAAACTCATTCCTTTGCCCTAAGAAACTAGGCAAGCTATTACCAGTTTCTTGCAAAAACAAAAACACAAGGATTCCTTGTACTTTAAAGTAAAGCTCAAACCATCTAAACTTATAGGTCACTTGGACTTAGGGAAGGGCATATATCTGTATATACCCTGTGAGCTCAAGCCTGTCATTTTAAAAAAATGGATCCTGTCATTTTAAAAAAAACACCTGATTGTTTTTGTTTTGTTTTGTTTTGTTTTCAAGAAAAGTACCAGAGAGAACACCTGGTTAATTCTAACTAAACATACCCTGGGCACTGGGAGGACCCTTTCCCATTCCACTTCTTAGATGAGCAGAGGAACCCGCCGTGATGAAAGAGCTCATGCTCCAGGGCTGAGGTACTCTCCTACCAGCTCCTTGGGTTCTGGTGTGCGGCTGGGGCCTCCAGAGTCTAAGGTGACCTCAAATCTAGCTTATGGAATCCTATTTTAGGAGACGGGAATGAAGATCTCACACAAACACTCGACTCTCCATAACACAGGCCAATGACATGGGTGTTATGTCTTATTTGTATATGACTTTTTTTTTTTTTTTTGAGACAGAGTCTCACTCTATTGCCCGGGCTAGAGTGCCGTGGCATCAGCCTAGCTCACAGCAACCTCAAACTCCTGAGCT